CTCCCCGCGCGCTCACTTCCTGCGTGGCATCTTGTCCGGCAGGTCCTGGAAGAAGTCGTTGCACATCATGGCCATGCAGGCCAGGAAGGTCACGTACTCCTGGAAATCCACCTCGCTGTCGCTGTTGCAGTCCAGGCTGCTCATCAGCTGCTGTAAACTGGCCTCGCTGGTTTGTTTCTGGCCCGGGGAGAGGGGTGGAGAAATCGAGGTTTTAGAAATCGAGGTTTTTAAAAAATCGACGTTTTAAAAATCCATGTTTTAAAAATCGAGGGTTTAAAAATCAACGTTTTAAAATCGAGGTTTAAAATATCGTGGTTTAAGATCGAGGGTTAAAAATCGAGGTTCTAAAAATCGAGGTTTTAAAAATCGAGGGTTTAAAAATCGAGGGTTTAAAAATCGAGGTTCTAAAAATCGACGTTTTAAAAATCGAGGTTTTAAAATCGAGGGTTTAAAAATCGAGGTTCTAAAAATCGACGTTTTAAAAATCGAGGTTTTAAAAATCGAGGTTCTAAAAATCGACGTTTTAAAATCGAGGTTTAAAATATCGTGGTTTAAAATCGAGGTTTTAAAAATCGAGATTTCAAAAATCGACGTTTTAAAATCGAGGTTTAAAATATCGTGGTTTAAAATCGAGGTCTTAAAAATCGAGATTTCAGAAATCGGCGTTTTAGAATCGAGGTTTTTTAAAATCGAGGCTTTATAAAATCGAGGGTTTTTTAAAATCGCCTCCCTCCCCCCCTCCTCGGGACGAGGCACCTGCTGGTTTCGCACTTTTCCACTTACGCTGAAGCTCGGCAGCTCCTTCAGGAGCATCTCCTTGAGCTCGGCCTTGCTGAGCTTGTACTTGTCCCCCTCCTTGCCCGAGTACTTGTGGAAAGTGGCGACCATCACGGCCAGCGCCTGCTCCAGGGGACACGCCATGGGGACAGCTTGGGGACACCTGGAGGGACAAAAAGGGGGGGCTTGGGTTGTCGCATCCTTCTCCTTCCCAAGCCAGGCAGGGGAAAAGGGCTCAAGGTGATTTTTTCCAGCCCTCAGGTGATTTTTTCCAACCCTCAGGTGATTTTTTCCAGCCCTCAGGTGATTTTTTTTCCAGCCCTCGGAGGTGAAATCCAAACTTGTGGAAACTCAGCGGGGACCTCCCCTCTGATCCCCCGAGGAGGGGAGGGGGAAAAAAAAAAACAAAACAAAACAAAACGTCTACCAGGGGGGATCCCACTGTGGGATCCACCCGGGAACGGCTGGGCCACCAAAAAATAAAAATAAAATCGACTTACCGAGAGCTCAGAGGGAACGGCGAGGACGGGAAGGGAAGGGCGGGAGAGGAGAAAGAGCCGTTCCACGGGATTTTTTATAGCCCCGCCTGGCCCTCCCTCGGCCGCGGGTGGGGTGTGGTGTGTGTGGGGGGGAGGAACCGATGATGGAAAAGGAAGGAGAGGGAAAAAAAAAAAAAAACGGGAGCGGCCCCAGCCCTGCCCCAACCCCCAACCCCCCCCGGAATTGTTGGTTTGGGTTCGAAAGAACGACACGGGTAGGGCAGGGACCTCCTGATCCAGGAGAATCCCCACACCTCGTGCCCACGAGGGTCTGTCCGTGGAAAAAGCAGAGGGTTGGATGAAGCTGTGCTGATGTTTTTTTTTGTGGTTTTTTTTTTACTCTCTCCTGGCAGCGATTTCTTGTTGTTTCCCGACTCTCTCTCCCCCCCTCGTTGTGTAACCCGGCGCTATTTTGGTGCCTCGCGGGGGGGGGGGGGGGGGGGGCCCACGCGTGACGAGCCGTGGGGGGAGCGCCCAACCCCTCCAGATGTGAGCTGAGAGCTGGCAAAGCCCCCAAATGTCCCCCTTCCCTTCCCCCTTCCCCCTTCCCCCTCCGGGCTCCTCCAAAGCTCCGTGGGGTGTGAATCCTCCCCCCCAGCCACGCCCCTGACGTCTCCCCAGGTCGGGTTTGGGTTTTTTTTCGTGACATTTTTGGCAGGAGGAACCCCCAGCCTGAACCTCCTGAACCTCCCTCCCCTCGTTCCCCCAGTGCAAACTGGGGAGGGGGGGGGAGTTACTGGGAGTTACTGGGGCAGAAGCTCCTGGGGGGTCTTTCTGAAGGACTCTGGGAAGGGGCAAAGAGCCAAGTTTGGAGCTGCTGGGAAAGGTCCTGGAAGGACCTGGAGGGGCTCAGCGAGGACGTGGGGGCCTTGGGGAGGACTTGGAGAGCTCAAGGTGGACCTGGAGGGGTTCAAGAAGGAGCTGGAGGGGTCAAGGAGGACCTGGAGGGGTCAAGGAAGGACCTGGAGGGGTCAAGGAGGACCTGGAGGGGTCAAGGAGGACCTGGAGGGGGTCAAGGAAGACCTGGAGGGGCTCAAGGTGGACCTGGAGGGGTCAAGGAAGACCTGGAGGGGCTCAAGGTGGACCTGGAGGGGTCAAGGAAGGACCTGGAGAGGTTCAAGGAGGACCTGGAGGGGTCAAAGAGGACCTGGAGGGGTCAAGGAAG